AAGGAGCCTGCTGGGGCGCGGGAGCTTTCCCCGGGGCTGAACGGGGTCTTCTGCTGAGCTATTGCACAGCTCTAGCGCACCGAGAGCATCCACAGCAGCAAGTCAAGGGGGAAAGGGGTCGCTCCCACTGTTTCTTGACAGCCTCTATTTCGTGAGGATGGACCAAAAACCTTTATCTGTTGAGATGACAAAGGAGCATCTCCGCGTGGGGAGGCCCGTGGGATTTTCTCAGTGCAGTGCCTTTCTCAGCAGGAGAGAAGCCACATCATAGCAGAGCTGTTTCCAAATAATTTCTGTAGATAACGATGGACTTGCCGTACTGCCCAAGATTGGATCTTTAAAACTAAACAAATCACTCTGAGCATGGCAGTGAGTGAAATGGTACAGGGTTCTCCTTCTTTTTGCCATTGCCTAGGTGTCTTTCAAGGGATGGGGCCATTAAGAAATGCTACAGTACATTTTTGTTAAGTTTTCCTATCTAAGCAATTATGAGCTGTCACTGCCGTATGGGAGTGACTGGGAACAAAATGACCGCAGACAGCACTAAATCAGGTATCACCCCTCCTTCCCTGTTGAGGGAATGGTTTTCACAAAAGTTCATGTGACTAAACAATAAAAGTTTATACTTTTATTGCAAACTTTCAAGCTGCCACCAGTAAGTTCGATCCTACAAAGAATGGAGTGTTCTGGCCCTGATCCAGAAAAACACTTAAGCCCGTTGCAGAGTGCTTTGCTGGATCAGGTCCAGCGCGGAGCAACACGCAGTGGTAGGGGTTCAACAGTAGGGGTTTTCTCTCTCTTTTGGGTGTTTATAAAGGAATCTCCACATACATGACTGCAGTGTGGGTAGGATGAAACAAAACAATAGTTAGACCCCTAAAAAGAAAGGTCAAAGCATGAACAGCGTGACAGTTTTTTGATAGAAATCTAACAAAATCTCCATGAGAACCTGCTCCTGATGGAGCAGTACAGTGATTGATGGAGAAAACAGCAGGTAGATGTCTTCCCAGGGTTTCTCATCCGAAGTGGAGCTCTGCTGCGCCAGGTGCTGCTTGTTTGAACAAACTATGGTTTTCCCAGGCTACTTGTAAGTGAGGTTTGTGGGTAAATAACCTGTGGTGAATAACTTATTTGATAATCTTGGAAACTACTTAGAAATGTCTTGCAATTATCTTAATTATTTAGGGATACAAGTGAATTCAGAGTGACGTTTCAGGAAGTAATTAATTGTCTATACTTTGCACTAGAGCAGCCTGTCTGGGCCTTCTGAGAAATGCTAGTTGGTTTTGTTAGGTTTGGTTGAAATAAAAAGGAAGTATGCTGCTTCTAGCTGACTAGATGAATTAGGTCAGAAATATGCTTGTAATGGCAAATAAAATCCAAATCAGTCCTCCAAGTCTCTTTTTAAATCAACGCCATGTTATTTGAAGAGGCTAACAATGAGTTACAACGAGTTAGTTATGATGAATTTCCACAAAAAGAGGGAAAATTTAAAGAACAAATGGGAACACAGAAAGAAATGAAATTAAACACCAGGTTATTGTATTTTACTTGATCAGTGGTAAAAAAGTAGTTGTCAGATGGTTGTCCCTTCACGCCGGGATACCAGGCATATGTAATGGAGGCTTTGCCTTTGTAGAAAGGATGATGACGGATTAGTGCTTAGATGCTGGAATAACTCTGGTAGGAGATGGATACCCTTTAGCTAAGGGAAGGGGGGGAGCTCCGCTGAGGCTGAATTTAACAAAACCAGACTTGCCCACAGACTTGCAAGCGCTCGCAGAGTGGATTTTTAATGCTGCAGGTGACATTGTTGCTGACTGAAGAATGTTCATCAAATCAGAAAACTGCTGATAAGCTGCCTTTCCCAAAAAGGGATCTCACGAACTTCTGTAAATCTCTGCCTTTCATCATACCCTGGGAGGTGAGGTAGAGGACTTGTGACAGATATTATTTAGGTTTTTTCTTCAGTTTATCAGGGTAATCGAATGGAGCTATAGAGAGAAAAAAAAAATCTCAAAGCATCTCCTTTATGGTCTGTCTATTAAAAAAATGAATGAAAGAATGAAAATAATTGGACCTACACTTCTCTTTGAATGTTTTGGTACACCTGAAAATTGTGAGCATATTGAAACATTGAGTATGTTGAATACTGTCACCCAGGTTCTGCTAAGAACACTTTGACATTGAACTGAGTACATAAAGGAAGGAAGTAAAGGAAGTGACATGATTAACTCATTCAGCAGTATTTGTAAAATATATTTAAGACCAAATTTGTATAAGGCCTGCTGGAATTTTACAAAATCAGTCTTAAAGAATATATTGCCTCTGTTACTGCTGAGTTTTTTCAAGTAGTTTTGATTAATTTCTTTTTTTTTTTTTTTTTTTAAGTTCTATTTCCAAACTAAAAGGCTGGTAGAAATGAGTAAGAACTTTGTTGAAGTTTCCATTAATTCTATTTGTAAGCCAAATATTTGGGGTGTTATTCCAGAAGAGCTTGGTCTTGGCTTACAAAGTTGTGGATTTTGGTTGTATTTCTGAAACTTGATTCAGACTTTGGAGCATCAGTACTTTCTTGCATGAAATTGCTCATTGCTGGCACACAAAATAATGTAATTTATTTTTGCCCTGTAAGAGAAACACCTTTTTATAAAAAATATCACATTAAATAATCAGGTTGGTCTATTCTTTCTCCTTGTACACATGCAGTTTTTCCTTAATATTTCTACTTTGCATACAGCGAAGAGGTTTTTAAAGCACATGATATCCATAACTGGATTTTAAATTTTTTTTTCCTCCTTTCATACTTCCTGGAAATCTTACTATTGTCTTTTTATTATACTACCACTAATAATTTGCTAGTACTACTAAAATAGTACTTTTTACTATCTCCTTCCTTTTTTTGGTTGTGGAAGGATTTAGTGCTTCTGATCTATTTTTTTCAGCATGTATCAAAAGTGAACATTTCTTTTGCTAATGCTCTGATCGCTGAACCAAAGACCAGACTGAAAGCCCTGATCGGTGCTGTACACTTCACAAAGTTGCATATAGGGCCCCCAACAGACACGTATGGTTCCTGGAGAGAGCAGCTGAATGTTAAAATAGATACTGTGGAGTGGTGGTGTGTCTTGTTATTTAATTTGGATGAGTGAAGAATATATTTTAGAAAGCATCGCTGGGCAATATGCTCTGTTGTACGTTAAGGAATAATTAGGATGGGGGATCTGGGTAAGAAAGACTTTCTATGATCTAGACCTGAATAGTTTAGTTATATGTCTTGTGCACTATAGAACCTTCAGAGCTGTTGAACAGTAAAGATAAAGAAAAAGATAAATTGAATTAATTTATTTTGAATTTATATACATGCCTCTGCCTGCATTAATATTAAGTTCCATCCAAAATCTAAATAGAAAGACTGTAATCTTAGAAGTTCTCTCAATAGCATCAGCAAATCATTCTTGTTTACCCTACATGCTAATAAAACAGGAACATGACACTCCTGAAAACAAGATTGCAAAATACAGAAAATGTGGTCTGACATTTTTTTTCTCCCCAAAGGAGGGACTGCCACTAACTAAAGTATTTCTTATGAAAGCTCGATTGCTTAAGATGCAGAATATTAAGAGAGAAAAACACTTTAGGACACAGCCATGTCACCAGCTGTTACTCACCCTTAATGAAATTGTTAAGTGATATTCTTCATAAATAGGTCAGAGAAACTTTTGAATTGTGAAGAATGTTTTATCTCTTTCTTTGAAATGTTTGTATTAAATTTGGAACTGGTAATTCATTAAGCTCATTAGCTCTGACTAGGAGAGCAGAGCAATATCTAGGATATAGATTTCAAGGCTTAAAAATGTTAGTGCTTACAAATAAACATGAAAGCAATGTGTGGAGAAAAAATATGGGATCATAACATGTTTAACTGTTTTTTGAGCGTGGCCCTCTGGATTAATTAAGAACATTTTCTATATTCAGACACTTGAATATAAACAGAATACATTATGACTTTTGGTTAACTCTGTTTTAATAGGGAAAAAGAGAATGCATTATGATGAATACAGTGGAAACTAGTTGAGCCTATATTTTGTTGTTTGCTTTTGGGCTTCAGTTAAAAGAGGAGATAATCACTGAATTTTACAGGATTCCAGCTCCAAATTCTATTATTACTGATTGATATTGGATTTAAACTGTAGGAGTTTTTTACATACATATATATGTACACACGCACACATGTACACACCTTTGGGTGACCTGTTCTTTGTGGCAGATTTGTAAGGAAGTAAAATGCTGCTGAGCTCTGCCAAATGCTTGATTTGTGATAAAACTTCTATTTAGTCTTAATAATTTCTGGTATAATGCAGTAATTTTCCAGAGTTAAGTCACAGATGGTTATATTGGCTTCCTCCTAGAAAAGAGGGAACTGGAGGAAATCAAGGACTCGGTGCTTGGGAACAGTAGTCGAATCGGAGTCCAGTATTGCTGTAGCCTTCCAGTCATGGAGATTTTAGAAGCAGCCTTGAAAGCAGCTTAAACAGACCGGATATATTATGTGTTTGTCCCAATTATTTTCTAGTTTCTTCATTGATTTGCTCTGTGGCCTTGAGATTATAACTAGCATCCTTCCCATTTCTGTAAAATGGGTTTAAAAGGACCTAACCTGTTAAGCAATTTTTGAGATTCCCGAGGGAAATGTCATAATTTAAGATGATCATTATCAGTTGGTTAATTTTTAGGTAAATTTGCCAATGTGACATCACAAAGAAACACATTTATACCAGAGAAGTTTAGAGTTTAGTAGCTGTACGTTTCAAATACACGAGGCTCAGAGGAGCACCAGTTTTCACAGAAATGCGGTACTGAAAGAAACCAGGTTTCCAAAACTCCATCCAATGCATGCTGTGTATGCCCACTAATTAAATTTGTTGGTCCATCTTTACCTGCATGTATTTGAATCCTTTCTGAATTTAAATCCTTGATTTTTTTTTTTCCTTTTTTAGGTAAATCGTCACAGAAGAAATCATTCCCAACACAACTTAACGCTTGCAGACATCATTAGTACACAGGACCACACAGTAAGCGATTGCTCTATAGAACTGATAAATCACTCTTGTTATTTAAAATGTTTATAATGTAAATGTTACACACGCTTTACTAAAGAATAAATACATGAGGCTTTGGATGCCTCAAGATGTTAAGGGATTTGAGGGACTTTGATTAATCAATAAAAAGAATAATTTTAGAAGATACAAAGCAATTTATATAGCTTGACTTTGCTGTTAATTCGGTTGTACTAGACTGATGTTTCATCAGCGTTAATACTCTCTATAAAGGAATGTGACCACGTCTTTGTCCTGTCTTTGCCTGTATTAAGGTATTTTTAATATTAATATAATTTTTTATAAGTAAAAGTGATCATGAAATTTAACAAAATTTTCCTTGACATTAAAAGAATCTAGAGGGAATGAGAAGCATAGATGTTTTCTTATTAAAAGAAAATGAATATGCAAATACAGATTCATCAAAGAAATGCTGGTATCAGTGGTACTTTTACCTACACAAACTTTTCAGGATTAGGTAGGTTCAGAAGCTTTGAATTCTTCTAATTAAGGGAATTATAGAACCTGTATGTGAGAGAGTGATAATTGCTTTTCCTTATAGTTTCTAATACTATTAACTCATGAGAGTCTTTTTTTATTATTATTATTATTATTTAGAAACTCAAATATTTACACATACATACTCTCATCTTTTAATATTCTTCTAAAAAGCAAATTAAAAAAAACCCAAACACAAACCCCCACACAATAATTCCATTTTCTATGGTAATTCTTCAGGGCATTTTGGGTCATTTTCTCAACCTTCCATATGTTGAAAAGGTGCAGGAAGGGCAGCAGCTTAACAACAAATGATGATATTTATTGAGACAGAAAGAACAGAGCATATCATAAGGATATATTCAGTATTCTTTTTAATCTAATATCATCCATTTGCAGAAGTATTGTAAGTTGATCCTGAGCTCTCCTAGAAGTATTTTCTTGAAAACATGTAGAGCAGAAAAGGGCATATTAGCAGATGTTAAACAAGGGGAATATAGCACCCCAAACAGAGGTTATAAAAAATATTGGGGTCATCCTAGAAATCTTTTTTTTGTCCTTATGGTAAAGTTGGTTTGTAATTCCATAAACACTCTTTATACTAATAATGGAGAAAAATGTGCACATTATTAATTAAGACCATGCTAATTTTTTTAAAGACAGCACCTGTACTAAATCAATTAAAGCAATATATATGAAAGTTACTTTGCTTAGCACTGAGAGGTCTCATATTAACTGAAGATCTTGTATTTTTGAGCTGTTTAATTTAAAACAAATGGCAGATTTGAGCTATGTAATTTAAATCAGGAAATTCTATACGCCCAACGTTTGTTAGTGGATTTGATATTCTAGCTCAAGACAATTATAAGGAAAATATGACTGAGCAGCAACATTTTCATCTGGAAGCACATCCAATTTTTAACTTCCCAAAATGTAAGAACAGAGGTGATTCAGATGTGATGTTGAAAGTCATATTTGTCTTCAGTTTTGGATTGGTTAAAATAACAGTTTGGGAAGGGTGGTTGGTAAACTTTGAAAGCATGAGATTTTGGGTCTGATTCAGAGAAGCAATCAACAGCTTGAATGGTTAGCCAATGCTCCTCCCAGTTTCTGCTTCCAGATGGATAGAAATATTAAAAAGAATAACCTTTCTCATATGTTATTTGGCATCTCTGGCCCTGGCCAAACACCAGAAGTTTTATGCTACAAAAATGAACGGTTAGAAGGGGAAGAAAAATATCGAAAGATGTAAAGTAAGTTTGATTTTAAAAAAAAAAAAAAAAGTAGGTGGAGATGGGGATTAAGTCTTATTTTAGCTCTAATAATTCATCCATCCATCACTAGATAAATAGTGACATGACTCTGCACAATAATCCCTACATACTTTCTCTCTGGGTTTTCTATGGCAATGATATGCATGACAGGAATTTGCATGAGATATGTACAAATTATAGAAAATGCACACACTAATCCTCATGTACCCATTTGAGAATGTCACCTAAATCATTGTCCACAGACCTACAAACCTTTTCATGGGTACAAACAGATATGTACGTGCTATATATTTCGTTATATGCTGTATACCAGCAACAGAAAAAAAATCTAAGGAAATAGCTAAACATATTACACTTAATATAATGATATTCTGTATAATCAAAATAACAGATATATTTGATTTAAAAATCCTTATGTTGCATGTTAAAGCATGTTTTATTGCTATTTAATGGTTTTGTAGACAACAAAATTCTATTGAAATTGTTACAAAATCACCTTGTGACACAATTTACTAAAAAGATCACGTGGAGTTACAATATCCCGGAGAGCCACTGACTCAGTAGTGTTTGAAGGGGAAAACAGACCCACTCTGAATCACAATTTTGCTTCTTTTTCCATTACTAACACAGTTGGGACATCCTTAGCTAATGAGATCTGATGAGATTGCAGGTCAATGGGTTTGGCTGAAGACCAGTCATCTTGTTTTGTTTGGTTTTTAATTTTTAAATATAAATTTACATAGCTAGAAAACCACCCTATCCCAAATTGTATATCTGTTGTGGTTTAAGCCCAGCCGGCAACTGAGCCCCACGCAGCCGCTCACTCACTCCCTGGTGGGATGGGGGAGAGAATC